ACATCCTTCTCTTCACTCTCTGAGGCAGAAGTCTCCAAAACTCATCCATTCTAATCGTCCTACTACTTGTCCACTTGATCCTATTCCATCTCATCTCCTTCAAGCCATTTCTCCTGCAGTCGTACCTGCACTCACTCACATTATTAACACATCCCTTCACACTGGTGTTTTTCCCTCAGCATTTAGACAGACTCGTATAGCCCCACTACTTAAGAAACCCACCCTTAACCCATCTCTTTTAGAGAACTACAGACCGGTTTCCCTTCTTCCTTTCATTGCAAAAACACTTGAACGAGGGGTGTTCAGCCAACTTTTGACACGGTTAACCACCAGATCCTCCTGTCAACCCTATTGGCAAAGGGCATCTCAGGAACCACACTCCAGTGGTTTGAGTCTTACCTCTGAGATAGGTCCTTCAAGGTATCTTGGAGAGGCGAGGTGTCCAAGTCGCAACATCTAACTATTGGGGTGCCACAGGGCTCAGTTCTTGGACCACTTCTCTTCTCCGTCTAGATGGCATCACTAGGTTCTGTCATTCAGAAACATGGCTTTTCATATCAATGCTATGCTGATGACACTCAACTCTACCTCTCATTCCATCCTGATGATCTGACGATAGCTGCTCGCATCTCAGCATGTCTAACAGACATTTTTTGCTGGATGAAGGACCATTACCTTCAACTCAACCTGGCTAAGACAGAACTGCTTGTGGTTCCATCAAACCCATTGTTTCATCACAATTTCACCATCCAGTTAGGCACATGAACCATAACTCCTTCAAGAACAGCCAGAAACCTTGGAGTTATGATTGATGATCAGCTGACTTTCTCAGACCACATTGCTAAAACTGCCCGGTCCTGCAGATTTGCTTTATTCAACATCAAGAAGATCAGGCCCTTTCTTTCGGAACATGCTTCACAACTCCTTGTTCAAGCTCTTGTTCTGTCCAGGCTGGACTATTGCAATGCTCTTCTTGACAGGTCTTCCAGCCAGTTCTATCAAATCTTCAAAATTAATCCAGAACGCGGCAGCAAGATACATTTTTAATGAGCCGAAAAGAATGCACGTCACACCTCTGTTTATCAATTTGCACTGGCTACCAATTGTTGCTCGCATAAAATTCAAGGCATTAATGGTTGCCTATAAAACTACCACTGGCTCTGCACCCCTTTACCTAAATTCATTACAAGAACAGCCAGAAACCTTGGAGTTATGATTGATGATCAGCTGACTTTCTCAGACCACATTGCTAAAACTGCCCGGTCCTGCAGATTTGCTTTATTCAACATCAAGAAGATCAGGCCCTTTCTTTCGGAACATGCTTCACAACTCCTTGTTCAAGCTCTTGTTCTGTCCAGGCTGGACTATTGCAATGCTCTTCTTGACAGGTCTTCCAGCCAGTTCTATCAAATCTTCAAAATTAATCCAGAACGCGGCAGCAAGATACATTTTTAATGAGCCGAAAAGAATGCACGTCACACCTCTGTTTATCAATTTGCACTGGCTACCAATTGTTGCTCGCATAAAATTCAAGGCATTAATGGTTGCCTATAAAACCACCACTGGCTCTGCACCCCTTTACCTAAATGCATTACTTCAGACTTATGTGCCATCTAGAAGCTTGCGTTCTGCAAGTGAATGTCACTTTATTGTGCCATCCCATAGAGGGACAAAATCACTTTCACGGACTTTTTAAATTAAATGTTCCCTCCTGATGGAATGATCTGCCCAACTCAATCTGAGCAGCTGAGTCCTTAGCCATCTTCAAGAATCGGCTAAAATCACACCTCTTCCATCTTTATTTGACCCTTTAACTCTAGCATTCTCTATTCTAATTCTATTCTTTAAAAAAAAAAAAATATTTTTATAGGCCTCCTATAGCGAATCGATGCAGTTTTGTAAGAAAAATATCCATATTTAAAATGTAATAATCACTTTTCTCTAGCTTGCGCCAACAGTCTTACATGGAAGCCATTCTAGTGGATGACGTAGGATGTCAGCGTTGCGCATACGGCGGTGAGTCTCGCAAAAACCAACGTATGTTTACAGGAGCAAAGGAAGCAAAGTTTCCTTACTTAGCAAAGGAAAACCAGTCCCCTCTTGGTTTATATTGAAATCCTCCGACATTTTTCTTCACAAATCCTCATTTTGTACTTCTAATCCATGATCGTTGTTTTGGTCTCTTCACTGCGCAAATGTTCATCCACATTTGTCACTAATTACCGCCGCATACGCAACGCCGACATCCTACGTCATCCGTCGGAACGACTTCCGTGTACGACTGTTGGTGCAAGCCAGAGAAAAGTGATTATTATGTTTTAAATATGGATATTTTTCTTACAAAAATGCATCGATCCACTATAGGAGGCCTTTATTCACCCCCCCGGAGCCATGTGAGGCACTTTGTACTACAGATGGATGCGCTTTATTGGAATTGTTTTGGACTGTTAAAAAGAAACACCCGCCCATCGCCATTATAAAGCTTGGAAGTGCCAGGATAAGTTTTAATATAACTCAGATTGCATTCGTCTGAAAGTCATATACACCTAGAATGCCTTGAGGGTGAGTAAATAATGGGCTAATTTAAATTTTTGGGTGAACTAAGCCTTTAATGAACTAAATTTTGTGAAAACCTCAAATACGAGCAAAATTCGACATTTTTTAACTTTTGTTTGCCTGCAGCTCAAAATTATCCTGTGCGTATTCCGATTCCGACGTTTTGTCAGCACGGTTCACATGTGTAATGCTAGATTATGTGTAATGGTCAGGTGAGTGAGGACTGTCTGTACCTGAACGTCTTCGTTCCTCTGAGTGTGAATCTGGCGGCTCCGCTGCTGAAGCTGCTGCCGGTGATGCTGTGGATCCACGGCGGGGATTTCATCGCGGGCTCCGCATCCAAACAGCTCTACGACGGCCGTTACATCAGCAACTTCACGCAGACGCTGGTCGTGAGCGTCGCCTACCGCCTGGGTGAGACTCTGATGCCTGTTAATAATAAAAGCCACAAAAACAGAGCTGAATCCATAGATGTATATACGTAGATGCCTCATTAGCGACTGTTTCTATGAGCTGTTATACGTAAGCCGTCCGCCATATTGTAATGGTCAACTTGAAGTCATTCACCATAGTAATCAAACCTATTCTACTTAAGTTTGTATGTGAAGTAGAAATAAAACCCAACTTTGCTTTAAAATGCATCGAAAGATCTTCTAACCGAAGGTCACATGATCACAAACGGAAATCACTTCCGTGAAGTGACCATCGCATGTTCCCTTTGCTAACGGACTTCTGGAAGGGCCCTTCGTGAAGGGATTCAGTTGTTCACTTTCATTTGGAACGTCCCTACAAATGGCGCCCCCTTCCCGAAGTGCCCTTCAAGGGCGCAAAAAAGCCATTTGGAATTCGCCCAATGAATATTCGAAGATGCCACAGTCCTGCACAGCCGATGGTCTGCGAACCCAAAGTATGGCGAATGACGTCAAGTTGACCGTTCCAAAATGGCGGACACGTCTACGTGCTTGGAGCGGTCGAATGGGGAATCTATACATATCTATGGCTGAATCTGTGTCTCTGCAGGCGCGTTCGGCTTTCTAGTGTCAGGAAAAGACCCATGGACTTCCGCCGCGGGGAATTATGGGATTCTGGACCAGCAGGCGGCGCTGCTCTGGGTCCAGCAGAACATCGCGGTGTTTGGAGGAGACCCGAGCAGGGTGAGAAATTAACTAAACTTATTTATAAAGGGGTCAATTTCAAAACCATGTTCAAGCCCCCCAAAATAACAATTTTCAGTATCCACCTTATTCTTCAACCTGGAAGTAAGCCTATGGGTGCGACTTCCGGTTCATTAGCTGCTATAGGAAAATAAGAGAAGAATTACAACATGCAGTGAACGGTCAAACTGTTTGCACTGCAAACCAGCGTGTTCATAATGAAGATAATACATTAAAATAATATGGTAAGACACACCAGTTTGCAATATCAAGCAGTAAAAGTTTTGTACAGATACAGATAGCTGGAAGCAAATGAGACCGGAACCAATAGAATTTACAAATGGCCCATTTTTACGGGAAGAATAAAGTGGATAGATTCTTTTTTTTTTTAGGATTAACGGAAATGTCTATAAAATTAATGGATAATGTCCTGGCAGAAAATTAGCAGTAAAGTTGAGTTTTTCTTTCTTTCTTTTTTTTAAACAGTGAGAAAAAAATAATATATATATATATTGCATAATAAGTTTTATACATATAGACGTGTAGGCTATATAGTTTTTGCATTGTGACATTGTCCCTTCCCCAATTTTCAGTAATTGCAGTGCACAAAGAAAAAAAAAGATTTATGTTTATTTCAATAAGGGTTATTATAGTTACTTGAAATAATAAAGTAAAAAAAACTAAAACTGAGCCTATATAGACATTTTAAAACTAATAATAATGACAAAACCACACAACAAAATTACAAAAGCTTTAACTAAAAGAAAATATGAACATAAAAATGTATTCAAAATGTTCATGAAAAACTGTAATAGTATCAATGATACTAAAATTACACTCATAAAATCACTATTACAGTAATGAGAATCAAACAATAACCACAATTAAAATGTAAAACTTTATATTACCATTATATTGCAATAATAAGAAATTAGTATAAAAATGTGCTTTAACTGTCATGAAAATAATTTAAAATAAAGTAAGAATGGTACTAAAATAGCCTTAATTTTCTTTATGCAAAATAATAATAATTTAATAACAAACAAACCATACATATAAAACATTTTTAGATTCTATCTGTTTTGGGTGAAATAGATGTTTTCACAAAATCCACCTGAAGATGCCTGTAGAGTTTTACAGAATTAGAATAAATAAATCAATTCAATTCAAGTTTATTTGTACAGCGTTTTTCACGATACAAATCGTTGCAAAGCAACTGTACAGCAAATTAAGTTTCTACGATATTTAGTATTATATGAAATAAATACATAGATAAACAAAATCATATAATGAAATGAAGATAAAGAAATAAATAGCAGACTGAGCTGAATCTGTGTGTGACTTCAGGTGACTCTGTTCGGCGAGAGCGCCGGCGCTCAGTCAGTCAGTCTTCATCTGATGATCCAGAGCAGTGAAGCGCTCTTCAGACAGGCCGTTTTCCAGAGCTTACCCTTCTCCATTCCTCTGAAAACACGGTAACATGGTTACATACAGACGTGTTTCTGTACAGACGAGTGTCGTGTCTTCAAGCGCTGATGTTTCTCCTCAGGCACGAGTCTCTGAAGCTCGGGAAGAACTTCGCTAAATCAGCAAACTGCTCAGTTCTGGAGCTGCCGTGTCTTCAGTCTCTGAGTCCTCAGGAGGTGCTGAACGCACAGATCAAATCCAGTGAGAACAAATCCCTCCACATCTCAGAAAATAATATTCTATTTATTTAATTTCACTAAAACTAAAACCATAAAAAATTGTTCACAATTTGAAACAAAATGAACTTGAAATTGAATTGGGGAAAAAAATTGATGTACTAAAATATTCAATAAAACAGACAAATAAAAAAAATTTAAAAACTATAGACATAATTAAATAAAAATCATTGTATTACAGCAATGATATTTTTAATGAAAATTACCATTGGGAAAATGTATAATAAAATATAAAGCACAATAATTTTATTAATTATATGTTATTACATTTTATTAAATAATAATAACAAAATATAAAGCACAATAAAATGACTGGACTAATAAGAAAGTAAATAAAATATCTATAATAAGAACAAATTAGCTTAAATATACTTTAATTGCCATGGTAATATCAAAATAAATAAAATGTAAAAAAAATCTAAATGATATGAAATGGTACTTTAATTTTCTTAATTCAAAATAATAATAATTTAAGAGTAATACAATTTAAAGCTAAAAATGTATTAAAAAAAAAACTTTACAGGCACTGAACAAAAATGACATATATTACTAATAAATTAGTAGTAGACACAGTAATAATAATAAATACTACTATTATTATTATTATTATTATTACATATTCATAGTGCTATTCTTTTTGTTTGTTTGTTTTTAGAATTTTTGTGACATTATTCATTGCCCGGTTCACAATGTTTGTAATGCAAAAAAATATTTTTCATTTATTTACACAGACAATCAATAAAATATCTGATCAAACATAATTAAAAAATTGGTTTGAAATTGTGCTTTAATTATCCTTAAAATAATGTTGAAATGTAAAAAAAACTAACAATACTAAAAATCTCAATTTTCTTCATGCAAATCATGCTAAAACAACAAACAAACAATAAATATTTTTTTTTATTCTATTTTTTTCCCCGGTTGATTTTTAAGTGAAAATAGGCCTGTTTTCAAATCCACATCTTCTCCTCCGCGTCTGACAGAAGGAACAGCTCCAGCACAGATCACAGTGAAGCTGCTTGTGTTTCTCAGGCTCAAAGGTGCTGAATCCCTTCCGCTTTCTAGAGCAGTTTGAGAGCTGGGGGCCGTATGTGGACGGAGAGCTGATCAGAGAGCAGGCGGTCAGTGCCTTCCTGAAGGGACACTGGCAGAAGGACAAGCCCGTGCTGCTCGGTACACTTTCATCCAGTCTCACAGTCAGCATGAACTCAAACTGCTCCTGTTCACTGGCTACCGTGTGTTCCAGGGACCACCTCAGAAGAAGGAGTGATCTTTGTGTACGGCGTCTTCATGAAGCCCGTGTCAGCGGTCGAGTGCACCGTCTACACCACGGCCATCTTCAAACAACACGCCATCAAAATCCTGCGCAAATACCTGCCGCTGTACAGCGCCGCAGACCGCAGGGACATGCTGGCACAGGTTTGCCACGCTCATCACTCCTCATCATCCCCACGTCAATTATTTCTACATTTGCAAACATCTGTCATGTAAAGACACTTTTCACCACACAATTTTTACACTCTTTTGCTAACAAAAGCATCTTCCTCCACTGATTCAAAAGTTTCTGGGCATGCTACTAATATTTCATCATATTATAGTATATTATAGCATCACATTTTTGCCTGATTCCCTTTTGGAGGCTCTTAAAAGCATGAAGTGCATCTGCATTTCTATTATATTATTATGTATTTTTTATTATATATAATATAATAAAAGCAAAATAATACAAATTTTGCATTATTATTTTGTTATTCATTTATTAAATGATAATATGATTCATTATAATTACAATTATATATATATATATATATAGGTAATATAACTGATTACCTATAATATTTATTATTATTATTATTATTACCTGTACAATTAGTCTTTTTGCATTCTTCCCTCAATTCTCATTTAACTGCAATACATTTTTATTTTTTTTTTACATTTATTTAAATAAAAAAAATCTCATATTACAATAATAAAAAAAACTTTAATTATCTTTTAAATAATGTAAAAATGTAATTTACAAATCAGGTTATATCTGGTTATTTACAGTAATAAGAAATTAGTACGAAATAAGCCTTGATTGTAATAAAAAATAATCTAAAATATCCTTAATTTTCTTTACAAGAGTTAAGTCCACCTGTATTTTGAGATGAATGGGAACGCTAACATATAGACTTCATATCAACATATCAATATCAATGATGGAAGTAAAATAGGTTTCCATAATAGAGAACGGCGTTTTTATAACTGTAAAACAAAGACAGAGATACCAAATTAAGAAGCATTTTTTGTGTTGAAATGATTCTGCTCCCCTTCTGTCCACAAGGTGGCACTGTGTGTTGTGATTTACTTCATCTGCCACCCAGATCTCAATCAATGATTTAACCAGCTATTCTGTGTCACTTCAGCAGAGTTCACCCGAGAGGTCAAAGGTCACCACAACCCGCCTATCACAATAAATAACTAAATCTATGCATTTACTGCTAAAGTGACTCCGATACGGCGTTCAGTCACTATGTAACGGCTGTCATGAGCTCTGTGTGTGTGAGCAGATGAGTGAGGAGCGCTTCGTTTGTCAGGATGATCAGCGCTTGTTTAGAGCTTTTCATCGAGTCGCTGGAGGTTAAGTATCTCTATCCGTTACCTGGTAACCAAACACTCATCAGATAGCGACCACACACACACACACACACACACACACTCCAGCGCCTGCGGTCTGAGACTCTTCACGGATCACTTTCAGCTCAAACACAAACTCAGACTGAGATCCGATGACTTTCTGTCTCTTGACTAAATGATGCAGCCTTTAACCCAGCAGTGATATTTTGGTGTTATTTATACAATATTATAGTATTGTTGTATTCATATTTTGATAATATTTTTAATATTTGTTTTTAATTCATTCATATTAATATTTAATATTTTATTAATATTTTATAAATTATAAAGATTTCTATTTTAAATAAATGCTGCTCCTTTGAACTTTCTATCCTTAAATGGTGCAGCCTTTTACCCAGCAGTGATATTTTAGTATTATTTATACACTACTACAGAATTTATTAATATATTTTTTAAATATTTATATTTATCAACTGTCAATATTATTTAAAATATATATAAACCATAAAATAATTCATTAACATTTTATAAATTATAAAGAATTCTGTTCTTTTGAACTTTTTTTTTTTAATTGTACAGCCTTTTACCCAGAAGTGATCTTTTAGTATTATTTTTACATTATTATAGAATTTATTAATATATTTTTTCATATTTATGTTTATTTATAGATTTTTTGTTTAACTTTTTTAATGATTTATTTATTGTTATTTACTGATGAATAAACAATATTTATAGATATTTAATATAAGTATTGTAATATCTATTCAATATTTAAAATATATAGTTCAATTAATATTCATTATTAAATAATTCATTAAAATATTGTATAAATTATAAAGAGTTGTGTTTCAAATAAATGCTGTTCCTTTGAACTTTCTATTCATCAAAAAGTCCTGGGAAAAAAATTAACACTGCTTTCAACATTGATAATAATGAAAAATGTTTCTTGAGCAGTAAATCAGCATATTAGCATGATTTCTGAAGATCATGTGACGCTGAAGACTGCAGTAATGATGCTGAAAATACAGCTGCGCATCACAGAAATACATTACAATTTCACAATATATCCACTTGGAAAACAGCTATTTTAAATTGTAATAATATTTCACAATATTTACTGTATTTTAATCAGTGTTGGGAAGGTTACTTTGGAAACGTTATAGGTTACAGATTACAAGTTACCATATCTAAAATGTAATAAGTAGTGTAACTATTTCGGTTACTTTATTAAAGTAATGTAACTAATAACATTTGATTACTTGTTTTCACCTGTTAATCATTTTCAAACATGTAAACCAGGCAGGGTTAACATTACAGTAGTATTCAACACTGATTACTGTCACTTTCAAAATCAAGATTATAATCATTTCATTTTAAAGCACAGCCACCAAAAATCAGACTTACTTTGAGATCATTCTGAGGTTAAATGCAGATTTAAAACCAAACAAGATATAGTTTAATAGCTATGATACTGTTTTTGAAATCAAATAGTTATGATAGGAAACACTGCATGGCATCTAACAACGGCTTGGGGGAAAAAACAGTTCATCTTAAAAAATAAAGCATATACACAAACCCAAATAAGACATAAAACAGTTATTGAATAAGCAAGTGTCCTATTTAAACTATTCTAAACTCCTGAAGCACTGGTGTCTCGTATTTTAGAGCAGTCAATGCAATTTATGAAAGAAATCAATGAAATCTGTATTTAAACTATTCTAAACTCCTGAAGCACTGGTGTCTCGTATTTTAGAGCAGTCAATGCAATTTATGAAAGAAATCAATTAAATCTGTATGTGGATGTGTGTGTGTGTGTGTGTGTGAAAAAAAATCTGATGTAACCCCGTTTGTAATCGTTAACATTTTCATAAGTAACTGTAACTTAATTACACAATTTTTCTCAGTAACTGTAACTGATTACAATTACATTTGTTTTGTAATTAAATTACGTAATTTAGTTAGATGTAACTAGTTACTTCCCAACACTGATTTTGAGCAAATAAATGCAGCCTTGCTGAGCGTAAGAGCCCTGATTCCTTTACCTTTCAGATTGTGACTGACTACATCTTCCTGTGTCCGTCGCGGAGGTCGGCTCGCGCCGGCGTGGCGTCTGGGAGCTCGGTGTGGATGTACGTGTTCGATCACGTGGCGAGCGATCCTGGCGTGTGGTCGGGTCTGACGTTCTGTTACCGTCACGCGTGTCACGGCGCAGAGCTGCCGTTCGTGTTCGACTCGGCGCCGGTGGCGAACCTCAGCATGACTCCGGCGGAGCGGCTGCTGTCCAATCGGATGCTGTGTTACTGGGGCGCGTTCGCTCACACCGGCGACCCCGGATCTCACGCCGACTCCAGCGCGTTCTGCCGACAGCAGCGTCCGCCGGCGTGGCCGCGCTACACGGCTAACAGCGGCTGGCTGATCATGAACCTCACGCTGCATTCACACGCGCAGACCGGATCGCGCGAAGACATCTGCGACTTCTGGGACACGCTGGGAATCTATCCATAGAAAGAACAGGTTAAAGGGATAGTTCAGCCAAAAATGAAAATTCTGTCATCAATTCCTCACCGTCATGTCGTTCCAAACCCGTAAAGCCCCGTTCACACCAAGAACGAGAACAATATTAGCGTCCACACCAGCGGACGATATCGTGACAGCAGGATTGATTCTGATTGGGTGTCAAAGTTTGTATCGTTCATCAGCTGGAAAAAATCGTTCTGGAAGTGATTCCAACGATTTTGTTTCTCAGTGCCTTTATCGTTATAGCTGTGGTGTGGACTCTGCTATTCTTTAATATTGAGAACGAATTTTAGAACTATATCTTTATCGTTATCGTGCTTGGTGTGAACGGGCCTTAAGATCTTCGTTCATCTTCGGAACACAAATTAAGATATTTTTGATGAAATCCGAGAGCTCTCTGACCCTCCCATAGACAGCAAGGGTCCTAACACGATCAACGTCTAGAAACGTAGCGCTGTAGGGTGACTCGGAGGAGACGAATTGTTGAATAAAGTCGTTATTTTTGTTTTCTTTGCGCACAAAAAATATTCTCGTAACATCGTAACATTACGGTTGAACCACTGATGTCACACGGATTATTTTAACGATGTCCTTGCTACGTTTCTGGACGGTGATCGTGTTAGGACCCTTGCTGTCTATGGGAGGGTCAGAGAGCTCTCGGAATTCATCAAAAATATCTTAATTTGTGTTCCGAAGATGAACGAAGGTCTTACGGGTTTGGAACGACATGACTGTGAGTAATGACAGAATTTTCATTTTTGGGTGAACTATCCCTTTAAGGCTAGAAGGGATACAGCTGTGGCTACTGGGCATGCGCACATCAATATAGTGTAATTTGTCACACTGTACAACAATAATTACTATTTTTGCATTATTGTAAGGGGTAGGTTTAGGGTTGGGGTAGGGGTAGATGTTAATAAAACACAATCTAATAGATAGAAAATTAAACTTCATTGTTAGTTTCCGGTCGGAGCTGTATCCCTTCTAGCCACAACCAGAAAAACACGAGAGCTCACTCATATCTCATCTGTTTCTCATGGACTGACTGTACAGTCAAACCAAAATTTATTCAGACACCTTCAACATTTCTCACATTATCACAGTTTATTCGCTATAGTTTAGAGAATGGTAATAAAATATGACAAGAGCTCAGGGTTAAACGGTGTCAGGACAAATTAATCTTGATAATGTCAGATAACTTTGATAGAAAGGTATGTAATGAAATCGGTTGAATAGCTGTCAGCTGTTAAATTTAAGTGGACAATTAGATTATACCGATTTAGGCCAACTAATTACCAAGCAATGCTTAATTTTGTTCATTCTGTGGTGTAAAAAGGTCACATTAGCAATTAAAGACAAAACACTTAAGCAAAACATGCTCAGGTCAAAGTGTCTGAATAATTTTTGGTCCCAAATTTTTATCAATTTTACTGGTAGTCCACTGTATGAAGAATTTTTTGGGTATAATATATCACAGTTTAGTTTATTTTGCTATCCTTGCTTACATAAATGAACTGTCCTACACCTACTAGTAAAAAAAAAATATCAAAAATTATATCTGGTGTCGGAATAATTTTAGTTTTGACTGCATTTGTGTATTGTTTTTCAGTGCAAATACCTAAACATTTATAGTGCTGTCAAAAGATTAATCGCATCCAAAATAAAAGTTTTAATTTGCATACTATGTGTGTGTGTACTGTGTATATTTATTATTTATTTATAAATACATACACATGCATGTATATATTTTGAAAATATTTACATGATCTTCGTTCATCTTCGGAACACAAATTAAGATATTTTTGATGAAATCCGAGAGCTCTCTGACCCTCCCATAGACAGCAAGGGTCCTAACACGATCAACGTCTAGAAACGTAGCGCTGTAGGGTGACTCGGAGGAGACGAATTGTTGAATAAAGTCGTTATTTTTGTTTTCTTTGCGCACAAAAAATATTCTCGTAACGTCGTAAAATTACGGTTGAACCACTGATGTCACAGGGATTATTTTAACGATGTCCTTGCTACGTTTCTGGACGTTGATCGTGTTAGGATCCTTGCTGTCTATGGGAGGGTCAGAGAGCTCTCGGAATTCATCAAAAATATCTTAATTTGTGTTCCGAAGATGAACGAAGGTCTTACGGGTTTGGAACGACATGACTGTGAGTAATGACAGAATTTTCATTTTTGGGTGAACTATCCCTTTAAGGCTAGAAGGGATACAGCTGTGGCTACTGGGCATGCGCACATCAATATAGTGTAATTTGTCACACTGTACAACAATAATTACTATTTTTGCATTATTGTAAGGGGTAGGTTTAGGGTTGGGGTAGGGGTAGATGTTAATAAAACACAATCTAATAGATAGAAAATTAAACTTCATTGTTAGTTTCCGGTCGGAGCTGTATCCCTTCTAGCCACAACCAGAAAAACACGAGAGCTCACTCATATCTCATCTGTTTCTCATGGACTGACTGTACAGTCAAACCAAAATTTATTCAGACACCTTCAACATTTCTCACATTATCACAGTTTATTCGCTATAGTTTAGAGAATGGTAATAAAATATGACAAGAGCTCAGGGTTAAACGGTGTCAGGACAAATTAATCTTGATAATGTCAGATAACTTTGATAGAAAGGTATGTAATGAAATCGGTTGAATACTGTGAGCCATGACAGAAATTTCATTTTTGGGTGAACTATCCCTTTAAGGCTAGAAGGGATACAGCTGTGGCTACTGGGCATGCGCACATCAATATAGTGTAATTTGTCACACTGTACAACAATAATTACTATTTTTGCATTATTGTAAGGGGTAGGTTTAGGGTTGGGGTAGGGGTAGATGTTAATAAAACACAATCTAATAGATAGAAAATTAAACTTCATTGTTAGTTTCCGGTCGGAGCTGTATCCCTTCTAGCCACAACCAGAAAAACACGAGAGCTCACTCATATCTCATCTGTTTCTCATGGACTGACTGTACAGTCAAACCAAAATTTATTCAGACACCTTCAACATTTCTCACATTATCACAGTTTATTCGCTATAGTTTAGAGAATGGTAATAAAATATGACAAGAGCTCAGGGTTAAACGGTGTCAGGACAAATTAATCTTGATAATGTCAGATAACTTTGATAGAAAGGTATGTAATGAAATCGGTTGAATAGCTGTCAGCTGTTAAATTTAAGTGGACAATTAGATTATACCGATTTAGGCCAACTAATTACCAAGCAATGCTTAATTTTGTTCATTCTGTGGTGTAAAAAGGTCACATTAGCAATTAAAGACAAAACACTTAAGCAAAACATGCTCAGGTCAAAGTGTCTGAATAATTTTTGGTCCCAAATTTTTATCAATTTTACTGGTAGTCCACTGTATGAAGAATTTTTTGGGTATAATATATCACAGTTTAGTTTATTTTGCTATCCTTGCTTACATAAATGAACTGTCCTACACCTACTAGTAAAAAAAAAATATCAAAAATTATATCTGGTGTCGGAATAATTTTAGTTTTGACTGCATTTGTGTATTGTTTTTCAGTGCAAATACCTAAACATTTATAGTGCTGTCAAAAGATTAATCGCATCCAAAATAAAAGTTTTAATTTGCATACTATGTGTGTGTGTGTACTGTGTATATTTATTATTTATTTATAAATACATACACATGCATGTATATATTTTGAAAATATTTACATGCATATATTTATATAATTTCTATGATATATAAATATATTTAATATATAAGCATAACATTTGTATTAAATATATACATGCATGTGTTTATTTATATATCCACTACCAGTCAAAAGTGTTTGAACAGTAAGATTTTTTATGTTTTGTAAAGAATTCTCTTCTGCTCACCAAGCCTGCATTTATTTGATCCAAAATACAGCAAAAGCAGTAATACTGTGAAATATTTTTACTATTTAAAATAACTGCTTTCTATTTTAATATATTTTCAAATGTAATTTATTCCTGTGGTCAAAGCTAAATTTTCAGCATCATTAAAAGACCATTTTTGACTGGTAGTGTACATAATAAATATACACAGTACACACACACTTATTACATAAACAAAAACTTTTATTTTGGATGCGATTAATCATTAGATGGCACTAATTCTTAAATGAACGTATATTTAATTAAGAAGCAAAATGACTAAAGTCTTGTTATAAAGTCTTGTTTTCTGAAAAATTTGTGCTTAAAACAAGAACAAACATATGCCAATATCTAGGGTAAGGAAGATAAACTTGTTTTACCTTTAGGCTAAGTTTGTTTTTCTGAGCACATCTGCAGAGATTTGTTCTTGTTGTAAAGCTTAGACTCACTTCATTTAGATTTTTTTTTATTTAAATAGAAAGATCTGAGACAAAATTGAGAACTCTATAAAGTCTGCTAGTTTCTAAAAATATTGCATCTCAGAAATAAAAACATTTATTTAACACAAATAAAAAATGAATTAAAATAAAATATTAATAATAGTAATAGTTTAATTCATACTTTTTTTTTAGAATTGCCTTTTTTAAGCAAAGCAATTTAAATAATTCCAATTAAATGATAATAATAATAATAATATATTATAAATTATTTTTAATTAATTTATTGATTTTTTTTTAAAACAAAGGAACTAAATAATTAAAATGACAAATTAAAAATAGTCTCTCTCTCTCTCTCTATATATATATAACTGAAGTTACTTCTTAATTGTTTCTCAAAATATAGAAATATCAAGTGCATTGCATTGTGGGATACAGTACTGCATGTTCTCTGGCAGATTTCACACAGCCGCAAATACATTATACCTGTGTGGCAGTTATATTAGCTCATAATAATGAGCAGCACAGAGTAACTCAAGCTGACGGATGGATTATTTTAACGATGTCCTTGCTACGTTTCTGGACGTTGATCGTGTTAGGATCCTTGCTGTCTATGGGAGGGTCAGAGAGCTCTCGGAATTCATCAAAAATATCTTAATTTGTGTTCCGAA